AGGCAGTTTTGTGTGTCCTCAAAAATCTGAATGTAGAAATTCTGTGTGATCTGGATATACTACTTCTAGGAATATGTAGATATAAACTGCGATACAAACATAAATTTATACACTGATGTTCACAGCAGTATTATTTACAATAGCAAGAACATGGAAGCAGCACACATGTTCATCAACAAATGACAGAATTGAGAAACTGTAGTATATTAACATTAAGGAATATTATGCAGCACCCAGCAACAACAATTTTGAAAAATGATATATAACATGGAAAAGGCTAGAGATCATTATGTTCAGTGAACTAACTCAGGCATATAAGAACAAATACTGTGTAAGGCCATTATTGTAAAAACAGAAGGATAACCAGTCTTCTCTAGTGCTATTAGCTACCTCTTAAACCCACTGAAGAGTCAGCTATGAGTCAGTTCCAACTTGATGGCACACAGCAACAACAACCAGTATGATGTATGTGGATTCATAAAGATAAAAAAAGAGAGAGAAGAGAGGCTGATGTTGTGTGTAGGGGAAATCACTGGGTCACAGAGTCTGATGGATGTGGGTGATTAAAAAACCCCATTGTACATGAGTGAAACACAATATAAACAAATTACTATATGCAAATAAATTTAAAAAATTAAAGCTTTTTTTTTAAAAAAGATGTAGAAACACAGATTCTTTTCCTAGATATGAAGCAGAGAGCAAAGAAGCCAGATCTTAATCAAAATGCATTTTACATGCTTTCACTATCCAAAGTTAAGCTAAACTGATTCCATATGAAATATAGTAGACCTGAGGACCGTAAGAAACTTCTGTGTGTGTGGAAGTCTTCATTATATTAGAATGTCAGTTGGATAGGTATATCTATCTGTCATGAATTTTCCATTCCACTTTGAGTATTTCAATGCACTTAAGTTTATCCTCCCCAAATAAGTGCATATAGTAACTATAGTATTTGAGTGGGTTATATTGAGTAAGGAAAGGTAAATAAAGCAAGAAGGGGAAATGATAATCATTGCTGAACCTGAGGGTGGGATTTTGAGATTTCAACATACTACCAAACATTCCGGTCTGTAATAGTCTGTCTGGAGGTTTTGGTAACCATGACTTTCCTGGCTAGTTTTCAGTCTTTTTCTTCACTACATCTATGCGGTGGTGTTAAGGTATTTGGAGATAACTAGAACGTAAGATAACAGGAGCTGGCATTGGGAATCTGTATGTGTACTCAGGTTAGACCAAAGGAAAAGAAGCTAATTGATAGGGTAGGCAGACACTGAGCCTCTTGATGGAAATTTGTGGGTACACGTATTTTCTACTCCACACCCAGAATTGCTCCAGTTCACTGAGAAGTGCTTACTATTTGGCTGTGGGCTCAAGGAAACATAGCATTTATGCAAGTGTTTTATGAGGAAAAGGATAAAAATCCATTCTCATAGTCTTCGTAGAACAGATAGGATTCTAGGTATTAGCTATCTTCAATCCATGGAGAAGATGATAAAAGTGTCAAAAGGATGGTATATTGTAGAGTAAGGTCTATGCTCATGCATTCATACTACTATCCAAGGAGGAGGCTGTGGAAGAGCAATGAGGAGAAATGTAATTGGCCAGAGTAACAGTTGTTGGTGTAACATCATTGTTTGGAGTGTGGAAAAAGAGTGTATCACTAATTTCTAAAAAGGAGACCATTTTCTTCATTGTCTTTTGATGTCTAAAATTCTAGGGATGCTGCCAGTATGAGAAACAATGTAGCAGGCAAAGAGTCGTGAGTTAAAAGTTTGGAAAATAAATGGTGCTTGAGTCCCAGTTCTACTGTTTATTAGATAATTTGTGGAGTTTTTTTAGGGCTCCTCTTGATACCATCATAACCCCACCTGTTAACATTAGATAGCTTACTTAGTTGAATCTTTCTATTTATTGGGTAATTATTGGATATTTGCTTGACAACCAGTGGTGTTACAAACCAGTATTGTTATTATTAGAAGCCATCAACATGAATAAAACTAGCTGACCTGTACCTTGCCCTGTCCTGTGTCATTGTGACAATTTCTGACACATTTGAGCCATTGTGGCAGTCACTGTGCCAATCCATCTCATGGGAGATCTTCATCTTTTTCACTGACACTCCATTTTTTACAAGCATTATATCGCTTTCTCGGGAATAGCTTTGCCTAGCTACATGTCCCTGTAATACACAATCAATCAGTAACTTGCCCAGAATGAAATGTCATCTTTTCTTTTCTTTCTTTTTTTTTTTTTTTTACTTCTAAGGAGGACTGGCTTCAGTTTTCCAAGACATAACTGTTCTTTTGGCATTCCATGAGAAATTCATTCTTCCCCAACAACATAACTCAAAGAAAACAGTTCTGTCATCCTTATTTATTGCTCAGCTCTCAGATGTGTAGCAACTGATTGAAAATATTGAATCAGGTGCACCATGGTCTTCAAACTGATATCATTGCTCAATGTTTTTGAGAGGTCTCACAGTGAACTTGCCCAATGCAATACATCTCATGATCTCCTGACTACTGATACCAAGAGTGAATCATTGACAATGTCAATCCTTTCTCCATCTATCGTGATATTGCCTATTAGTTAAGTAGGAAAGACCTTTCCCCCAACTTGATGTTGTGATGCAATCTATATTGAAAGTTGTTGTCCTTGATTTTTTCTCCCTTTCAAGAAGCAAGGTAGTATTATCTGCACAATGCAGGTTGTTGAAGAGTCTTCCTCCAATTCTGATGTTGTATTCCTCTTTTTAGTTTTGAGCTTTGTGAATGATTTGCTCACCATATAAAATGAATGTTATTGTTGTTATGTGCCGTCGAGTCGCTTTCAACTCATAGTGACCCTATGTACAAGAGCCCTAAACCCTCCTCTATTCTGTCTCTATCACTGTCTCTGACACACCTACACCCAATACCCCAATCACTGAATCGATCCATCTCATCGAGGGTATTCTTATCTTGTGCTGTCCCTCCACCCTCCCAAGAATGACATCCCTCTCCAAGGACTGGTCCCTCCTTGCAACATGCCCAAAGTATGTCAGACTAAGCTTCAGAATCCTTGCCTGTAAAGAGCAGCCCGGCTTCACCCTCTCCGGGACAAACATGTTTGTTCTCCTGGCAGTCCATGGTATATTCAACACTTTTCTCCAACACCACAGCTCAAAGGGATCAATTCTCTTTTTATCATCCCTAGTCATTGTCCAGCTCTCCTATGTATAACACAAAATTGTGAAGACTATGGCCTGGATCAGGCACACCTTAGTCTCCAGCCTGACATTGTTGCTCTTCAGTACTCTGGAGAGGTCCCTGACAGCCAACTTTCCAAATGCAAGTCTCTTATTTCCTGGCTGCTGGTACCAAGAGTGTTGATTGTGGAGCCAAATGAACTAAAATTGCTAACAATCTCAATCTCTTCACCATCCATAATGATGCTGCCAATTAGCCCAGTGGTAAGAATCTTTGTTTTCTTGATGTTGAGCTTCAATCCATATTGAAGGCTGCAGTTCTTGGCCTTCTGCGGCAAACGTTTCAGGTCTTCTTCAGTATCAACAAGCAGGTTTGCGTCATCTGCATAACGCAAGTTGTTGATGACTCTTCCTCCAATTCTGATGCCACATTTCTCTTCGTACAGCCCAGCATTCTGGATGAATAAGTATGGATAAAAGATACAACCCTGACATATACCTTTCCTGATTTTAATCCATGCAGCATTCTCTTGCTTTATTTAGACAGCAGCATCTTAGTCTAGGTACAGATTTCGTATGAGCACAATGAAGTGTTCTAGGCATAATTTATTATGATCCACACAGTGAAATACCTTTGAATAGTTAATAAATAGCTGGGATCTATCTGACATCAGCGATGATATCCCTAGTGTCATGACCTTTTCTAAACCACATCTGAACTTCTGGAACATCCCTGTCAATGTAGCTGCTCTAGCCATTTTTGGATGATCTTCAGAAATGTTTTGTTTGCATGTTACAGTAATGATTTTGTTGGCTTAAATACTCATTTTCATAAAAATTGAGATAGTTTTCACTTTTAACTCTAGCATTGTTTTTGTGCCTTTACTCATTGTCTACTTTTTACTTCTTTGGTCCAACATATTCACTTATATTAAATATTAAACACTCAGTTCAAATTCCACTTCATAGAGCCTTCCTAATGATCTCAGTGTAACTACAATAATTTTTAAGATGCATGTTTATGTACTATTATCATAGATACTTCTTTCTACGATCTTGGATAGATGGCTTTTGTAAGAAAGAAATTACTTCAGGAATGTTAAGAAAAAGGGATATTGCAATTCACTTTTAATACCTCAATTTGAATATTTTTTTGTTACAATAAAATAATCACGACTGTCAGTTTGAACTAAGAGAGAAAAGTCCTTTCTTTCTCATGTGAAGATTGACAGCTGTGGAAACCTGATGGAGTGTTGACATGCATCAGAATCAACTTAGCAGCAGTGGTTTGGATTTGGTTATCAAAACTTAAATCTGCAGTTAAGATGACATGTCAGAGATATAGAAAACCAAGAACATGAAAGAAAATAACATGAAAAGCACACTCCTTCTGACTCATAAGTTTGTAGAAAATATAAAAGAACATCAGATTTGACTGATTTACCCTCATGAATGTAACATCCGAAGAGACTGGCATGTAGGAGAAAATGTCAAAAGCAGAGAATATTTATCCTACAGTCTCATTTGAAGTTCAAGGTGATGCTCTATGTTTGGTTTGATACTTCAATTACAAGGTGCTGTAGCAATAGTGTGACATTGATTGAAATACAAGCCCTTACTTAGTCCTGCTTCTTTGGATAAGCAAAACGAGAGAGAGAGAGAGAGAGTTTTCTCAAGGAAATGACTTATGAAGTTGTAAAGGTTGGCAAGGTCCAAGTCTGTGGGTCAGATGTCAGACTAGAGGCTTCACTATAAGGAAAACAATCAAGCATTATACTTATGTTCTCTCTTTGAGAATCATGATCCAGGAAAGATGAAAAACTTACCCATTAAAGGTATGATAGATAAGCTTGAAGCATACGCTGGCCTTTCTGTGGTCCACATAAGGTAGGAAAGGACTTTATGTGTTCTGGTGGCCTAGTGGCAAGAAGCTATGCTACAATCCTGAAGATATGCAATTTGAGTCCACCAGTTGCTCTATTGGAAGAATGATGGTCAATCTCCTCTTGTGTGATTATCTGCCTCTAAAAACTCACAAGAGAGTCAGCTATGGCTTATTTCCAACATGACAGTATACAATAACAACTTAAGTAGTGCAAAAGTGCTAAGCTGATTATAGTCTTGGACTGGAACAAAGGGGATCTATTGGTATGGGGAATCTGTGAGTAGGGTCCAAGACCAGTACCTTATAATACACAAATGCCTGATGAAACTGCTTGTATCTCTAGGACCTAAATCGTCTCTAGGGTGAAATCAGTCTTGATAGCTGAGGCTAGCAATAGCCCAGAGGGTACTGAGTGGTAATGAGTGTCTTTCATATTTACTATGATGGAAGTACAGAAACCCCAGACATATTTGCAATACTGAACATTCACTCTAGAGACTGAAAATTGAGAAAATTGTGATAATTTACTTAAATTATTTTAATGTGTATTCCTTCTTTTACCTCAACAGAATGAAAATGCAAACTTTCCTCATTTTGCTGTTATTACCTAAGAGAAGAACAGGTTAATATTTAGACAGAGATCATTATAAGTGTAATACTTCATTGTTTACCTTAATGATGCTCTGATAACTTATTTGGAATTCAGTAAATTATTGATATCTCTCTTCACTGCTAACTTGAAGTCACATGGTTTGAATTAATTGGCTTCTCCATAGGAGGAAGATGGGAATACCCCACCTGTGTGAATTGGTGTCTCTGAAAACCCACTAGAGGATCATCTGTGGATCAGTGGATCAATGGAGCATAACCGAACTCTGGTGGCCTACTGTTAAGAAGCTGTGATGCTGCACTGCAATCCCAAAGGCACACAGTTCAAATCTACCAGTTGCTTTAGAGAAGGACGGACTATCTCCTTCCATGAGATTTACTGCAAACTCACTGGAAGGTCAGCTGAAAACCCACTGGAAGGTAGACTGTGGGTAGGTTCCCACTTGACAGTACATAATAACAACCACAAGATGCATGCTATAGGTTGGAGTGTGTGTGTGTGTGTGTGTGTG